TTATAAAGTAGTCTTTAAACTAGCCAGATCTTAATTACTAAACTATAAAGCTAGCCAAACCTTATATTCCAACAACTAAAAAACCACTTTAACACTCCTACTTTACTATTATTAAATCTGTTCTTATTTGCTGCCTTTTAAAACTATATCCTATATACTCCATCTCTTATCCCAACTTTCTAACATATCCTTTTAATTATATATATCTATTTATAATCTACTCATCTTTAAACGAAAACAAAATAATTAATAAATTAAATCTACTGCTTAATAAAAATAACATAAGTAATAAAAACGCTAAAATATATTCCCCACTAAAAATACATACAAATATAAGCTCGCAAAGTACACGATCCCAACATATTTATATAGCTTAAATAAAAATAAAGCTTATAATACATAACTATAAATATAAACGATTTCTAGCTAACCAAGCTAAAAACGTTATTCCTTCGTAATAGCTTATAGTAAACCAAACTATAAGCGTATTATAAAAGTATACTTGTCGTTATTTTCAAGCTTTTATAGTTTATAGTATAAAAATCAGGCTTAAAAAAATATTTATTCTGTTTGTAAACGAAACTAAAGTACTAAGCTGCAGCTGCATACATAATAGTATAAATATTCCGATAAAGCTTCGATCCGGCTAATTTTCATGTTTAACTGCTTCTAAACTATAGCTTAAAATTAATATAACTTATTTCTTTCAAGGGGTCTATAACCTTATCCGTACCTTTGCTATTTTAACAGCATTAAAAGTACTAATCTACATTATAGCTATTTTCCAGACCTATACGTATAAATAGAATTCTAAATAGTTATTTACTAACCGATTATAAGTCCTAAACTAAATACGTGTTTTTTATATAATTCTCTAAATAGTCATTATATATTAACTAGTATATAAAGTGCATATTTATCTAATTATTAAACTATATATAGTAAAAAAATATAAATAGTAATAAATAAAAAAATTACTACGATAAATACAAAATAACAATAGTAATAGTAGCGGACTTTAAAATCTAAATTTCTATAAGCAGGCTGTTCTTATATAGCAATATTAACCTTTATTAACAAATTTAAATAAATAACTAATCCTGTAATCGTAATATTTAAAACTATATTTCGTTTTTTAAAAGCTAGTATTTAAAATAATATTAAATAAACTTGCAAGTAGGTTTTAAAAAAAAAAACTCAACTTATATATAATAAATATAAAACCGTAATAAAAGTAGCTAACACGTAACCACGCTTTTAATTATATAAAACGTACTTTAAACTTTCATTTTTAAACAGAGTAAAAAGTATTATTTATATAGTTTATTTAAGCTTTCTAATTTAAAAAAAAAAAAACGCAAAATAAAGTAAATAAAATAGTTTCTACTACTATATTCCTAGTTTAAATCAAGTAAAACGATTTATATATATATTAAAAATCAGATTAAACAATAAATATACTTACAACTAACTCTAAAACCGCTAGTAAAATCTCGCTTGTTTTAAGCAGCTACTATAACACGATTTATAAAAATAATATTATAATCCTTACAGTAAAAAACCTTGCTTAAAAGTTACTTATAATCTAAAAAAGCGGTAAAAAAATGCTTAAATATTAACTTATCGTTAAAAAATATATATAAAAAATAAAAATTCAAAAAAGTTTAAAAAATATAATATAACTTTTTATTATAAGTTTAAAAAGTTCAACAAATAATTAAATCATAAAAACAGCAAAAAAAATAAGCATTTTAATCAAGTTAAAAGTTAAAGCTAGTATAATTAATAATATTCTAGTCTACTTTAAACATGTATATTCTAGCAATAAAAAGTTATCCCTACAGATTTTATAAACTAATAAAAAAAAAGCTTTAATAAATCACGATATATTTCTAATATAAACAATAAAACAGATCCACATAGCTAAAACAACTATAACATAGTTTTATCCGACTCCTTTATATTAAATATACCTTTTATACTAAAAAATACTTAATATTATATTTATAAACAAGTAAAGAACGTAAAAATCTACTAAATACTTCGTTAAAAATTTCGCGTCGTTTTTTTAACTAACTATAGTCCGCTTCGTTAAGCTTGCTACAACATTTAACCTTAAATAGCCCTTTTAGTATAACTAGCATAGTTTTTATAAAAAATATTAGCCCTTAATAAAATTAATCTACTATTTCTACAACTTTTTTTAGCTATGTTAAAATAATAAAAGAACTACTAACGATTATTTTAGTTTTCGATACGATTTAAGCACAAAATAAAAATTTAAACATAATAACTATAGCTAGAGAAAAGCTTGCTATTATCTCGTTAACTGTTAGTTTCGTAAATATAGCAGTTAAAACAACGCTATATTATTTCAACCTCCTAAAAACCTCGCTTTTAAAAGATTTAACAGCATAAAGTATTAAAAATCATCTATATATATTTAACGCTCGCTTGTTTCCTTTTATAAAAGCTTAAACTAAACATAATAAAAAGTTTAAAATAAAACTAGTAGCTATCAGCAGTATTATAAAAAAAATAAAGCAAGAAAAACATGTTATAAAAGAAGTTTTAAAAAAGCTCGACCGTAAAAAAAAAACATTAGCTAATTTATAACGTAAAATAAAAAAAGCAGCAACAAAATCGAAAATAGCTCAAGAGCAAGTCGTGGATTTTTTAAACAAATTATTTAATTTAAGCTAAAACTAGCGTTTTTAAAAAATTATAACAAAAAATAAGCATAAGCACTACTATTGCTAAACTAGGCTTAAAATTATTTTAATAGCTTTAAAATCATTTTTTAATATAAAATGTTATCTACTTAATAAAACAGATAAAATAGCGGTTTAATCAGTACATAACAAACCTATATATACTACATAATATTTCTAGTAATAAAAAAAAAACATAGTATCTACACTATTTTAAAACTATAATCGTATGTTATGTTTTTATTAAAGCTTATAATAAACTGCTTTCTAATCCTACTTTAATAAAAAATATTAAAGTTTATTAAATATAACTAATTAAAACCTTACTATAACAGCTTTAAACAGCCCCCTAAACGATTAAGCCTTTAAAAAGCACCTTTTTATTACTTTATAACCATTTATTAACTTATTCAGCAAAACAACTACAGAGCTAAAAATAATTACCCACTTACTAAGTATTTTAGTTATTAAAATCGGTTAAAGCTCTAAAAACATAAAGCTGATCTTTTAAATCTATATATAAAAAATGCAATTTACGGACTTTACTATTAACCGCGTTCTTCCCGATATTATTAATGTATATAAAAGCTTAAAAAAAAATACAGTAAAATTTACGCAGCGTTTTAAGCTTATAACTACTACAAGTTTCTACGCTTTAATCTTATAATAAGTACTCGCCTACTACTAATAAAAAAAATTATTAGTAGCTATAAAAATAGCAAAAAAAACGTTAATAATTAAAGCTATAAAAAAGTAAAAATAATTAGCTGTTTAAAATTTATTAATACTAAAAATTAACGCCTAATCTTAGCTTACACTTATATTTTAATAGTAAAACGCGTATAAAAATAGTTTCTTAAAAGTTCTAAACTAACAAGTAATTAATATATTATTAGCACTATAAAACTTAACCTTAAAAAATAAAAATTAAATCTGTAACTTTATTTTCGCGCTAATATTAATAGTTTAAATAAACTAAAAAACTAGCTAATAAATCTACAGCTTAACCTAAAGCTCCTGTTCTAAACATTAATCTAATAATATCATAGTTTTAGCAACAGGTTAAAAATAAACTACTACCTAATCAAAAAACTAACATCTGCTTGTATATACCGTAGTTAAAAATAAAAAGCTAGTAAAAAAAAATAAAAAATTTGGGTATTACGAAGCAGCAGCTTCTAAAGCAAGCATTAAATATAAAACAAAAATACTAGAAAAAGCTACACAATTACTACAGCTGTTCGGAACAAAAAAAACTTATAAGCTCTTAGTTAATACTTTAACTCCTCAGCAAGTTTTCAAACTAAACAAAACTAATACGCTTACGCCTAATACTTTTAATCCTTAACGCTTTTTCGAAATTAGCAACCAATCTATTAGTTAGCAGCTGTTCGGAGTAAATAAAACTTATAAACTTATAATTAATACTTTAAACTGCTAACAACTTTTTAAAACTTTATTTTAACCGCTATTTAGACTAGATAAAACTTATATTATCACGATTAAAACTTTAAATACCTAGCAGCTTTTTAGAACTAGTAAAACCTATTAACTTACAGCTAATAAATCAAGCACTTAACTGCTATACGTAAACGTTAATTAAACCCAGGTTTCTTAACATATTTCTGCTATTAACAAGAAGTTTTATACTTAGAAATTCTAACTAACGTCCAATTTATTATCGTCCTTTAAAAAAAAGCGATTAGCCCGCTTAAAAGATCTATTCTAACAGCTAATTATAAAGTTAAACATTAAGCTAAGTAATATAAATAAAAGATTTATATTAGGAAATAATAAAAATTAAACTTTTAAAAACATAACGTTTATCCCGATTTTAAACAAATAAAAGCCTCAAAGCCTATAGTACGAAATAAATAATCGGTCGTATATATATAAACTTTATGATTATTTATAAACATAAAAACTATCTATAGCTAACTAAAATAAACGTACTAATAAATATATATTATTAGTTTAAAGGTTAATATTATAAAATAGTATAGAAATATATACGGTTGGTTTTCTTAAAACTTAGGCTTCCGCTCGTCCTTACCTGCTAAAATTAGTAGCGGATAAAGTAATTATATAGTTATATAAAAAAAGTAGCTATAATTACCCTTATTTTTATAATTATTGCAATTTAATATATACACTATATAAAAGTACAACGTAAATAAAAACATAAATTAAAACTGTTTAAACTATTTAATTATAGTATTAAAATGTTTTAAAATCTAAAAAGCCTACCGTAATATTTTATCTAACAATAAAGTACTTTAATAAGTACAATACCTCTACTAAAAATTAAACTTAGCCTACTTGTTACATAAAAAATAAACGTGCTAACCGTTACACTATAAAGGCCTCTTTTTTTTTTTTATTAATTAAAAAACTATATATTTAACTTAATAAAATAATAGCAAAGCCATAGGCTATAAAGAAAAAAAAAAGCAGCTTTAATTAAAATATAGTTATAAAAGTAAGTAATCGTAACAGTACCGATATAGACATTTATAAGATAAACGTACTTAATAAAAACAGCTGTATATTATATGCTAGGAAAATACATGTTAGTTTATTAATATACTTATTTTACAAGTAGATATATTAGTGCTTTAATAACATTTAAAAAGATAATAATTATTAATCGTTTATTAAAGATCCTAATTCTTTACTACCTCCTAATAAAAGTCCTTTTTTAATATTTTTACTAGCATAATTAACGTTAAATTAATTTAGCTATAACCGATTATATCCTTTATTAATTTAATATACGCTTTCTAAAACTAAGCTGTTTAATAAACTTTTACTATTTTCTCTTTATTGCTCTTATTTTAATAATATTTATATAGCAAGTAGCTTTAAAAACATGCGACTTTATTAAAAAACTTAATCCGGATATAAAAACTACATATAAAATTAAGCTTTAAAACTGTTACCGCTTATAACAGCTTTATACTTATGTTAGCTCGATTAAATTATATAGTTTGTTTGTTTCTGCTAATAACAAGTTTTAATAGCAGCTAAGTCTTAAAAGTTGGATATATAGATCTATGCTCGCGTAGTTTAAAAAAATTACGTTAATTTATTAAGCTGTACGCTTAATAAAACATATTATACTAAATTAAACACGCTTTATACGTAATAAAAGCAGCGTATTATTATATCTTATTAGCTATAAACATATAAAACTGTTATATTAACTATATATTTATATTAAACATAATAAACTATATAGTTTATATTTACTTAATATATTTTTCCTTTACTCGCGTAAAAAACGCGCGTTTTTTTAACACTCGCGTTTATTTTAATTATACTAAAATAGCTTGAAAATAATATAAACTAAATTAATATAAAACAGTTTATAATATAAATACGATCTATTTATACGTTTAAATAACTTACACTTTAAAAAGTTATTAAGCTCTACTTTTTTACGCAGCTAATATTTAAACTATTTAATTATTTTTACTAACCTTATATAATAATTAAAGTATTTATAAACCTAAATATTTTATAAACGCTTTATCCGCTTATAACGAGTAAAATAAACTTACTAAGTATTAAAATAATTTAACTAAAAAGCAGTTTTTAAAAATTAATATTTTAATAATCTTTTTTAAGCTTAACGTTATTTATTCTTACAGCTACAAAATACACGTTCTTAAATACTTAAACTTTACGCCCTATAAGTTTATTAGCTTTTTTATATATTAGTTGAAAACTTTTTTCGCTTTCTATAATAACTATTCTAAACCTTACTGCTACTTAAGATATTTTCGTAACAGTTTAATATTATATTTTAAAATAACTTTTTTGTATATCGCACGTTTTAACACGATGTTTAACCTGCTTATCTTTTTATTTATATATATTCGTTTTAAATTATGCTTTATATTCGGCCGGCTTAAAATAATAACGCTAAAGATTAAAAAACAGAAGCTGATTTAAAGCTGCAAAAAAACACAAAAAAGTTTTAATACCCTAAAAAGCCTTTTTTTTAACAACTTTTCCAGCTCTTAACATAATAAAATGTTTAAGTCTACTACGTGATTTAAATATATAATACTAGAAAAATTATTTTAAAACCGCGATAAAAAATTATAAAGAAGTTTTAACACCTTTTTTAGCCTTTAATATAATAAGATGTTTAAGTCTACCGCGTAACTTAAATATATAACGTTAAAAAAATCGTTCTAAAACCGTAATAAAAAGTCGCGGAAAAGTTTTAAAACGTTAAAAAGCTTTTTTTTTAGTACTTTTTAGCATAATAAACTATTAAGCACGTTTAATCTAGCTTATCGCTCTGTAATTAACGCTTTTATAGCTTTAAAAAAATCGAATATCTTATAATATATCTTAATTAATATTAAAAATTAACAGGTTTAATATTAAGTTTAAATATATCGTTTAAAGTTTTTATATTAGTTAAAAGTTTTATTATATACTCCTTTATTTTTCTTACGTTTTAAGCACTAATAATCCTGCAGTAAGCATTATTAAATAATTTTAAACAGCATTTTTTTGTTGTTATCGTTCTCGATTATACTATTCTACTTAATAATAAAAAAATCATGCTGCTATATATTTACTACTTTATAAAAAGATTTATTATAATTTACAATATTAATATTTTTAAAATATATACTTTTTATACTTTATTTAGCTAATAAAACATATTAAACTAATAAAACATAATGTTTAAAACTTAAGTTTTACTTACTTGTAGTTTTAATCGTTTTTTATATTTTTACAAGCTTAAAATAACATAAATAGCTTTTAATTTACTTAGCGTAATAATATCAACTTTATTTATAATAATTATAAAAACATGCTTTAAATAATAAGCTGTATTTTAAGTATATTTATTTAACTTATTCTGCATGTTCTAATTTTTACCTCTAAACTAACCAGCTTTATTAAATAATCTATTATAAGTTCTATTACGCTAATAATACCCTGTTCAGAATATACCTGCAAACTTTTAGTGCTATTTCTACTTAATACACGTTAGGTTACTTATACTGCAATTATATTATTATTAATAAATATATTAACAAGTAAGTAAGAACAGAACGTAATATTTACTTTAAAACTTGTTTTTACTGCTTTTAGCTTTATTTAGCTCAATATAGTCTCCGTTGTCGTTTTTTTAACCTTAGTTTCTTATTCATTTAACGGTTAACCTAATAACGCTACTTATTATCTTTACTACTGTACGTATAGCTTAAACAGTAGTATTAACTTAATAAATATAAATATTTAGCTTAAAAATAAACAAGCAAATCTTCTTTTACTTAGTTTTAACAAATAAAACAGTACGTAAATATTTACGAAAGTTTTAATACTAAAAAATTATATCGTTTATTCTTTTAGCTTGTTCAAAATTAGTTAATATAATACTAGTACTAGTAAACTACAACTAAGCTTTTTTTAATATAATAGTTATACATACCTACGTTTTTTACTGTTTGCTTATCTTATCGATGTTTTCGCTGCTTTTTCGCTTAGAGGCTATAACAAGCAGATATATTAATTGTTAACAAGCTACTAGTTTTAGTCTGAAAAAACAGCTATAATACTATAAGGTTTAAAGGATAAAAGTCTGGAGACAACCTTAAAGTTTTCCGTTTTGCTAGCAGTAACCATCACGTTATAATATCTATCTCTTTTTTTATAGCATCTTTAAAACAAAAACTAAGCTGTGCATACATTAAAGTGCAGTATATTTAAAAATAAATACTATCTCTAAGCTAGTTAACGATACGTTAAAAGGGTTTTAAATAAAGGTATTATAATATTTCTTTAATAAAGCAATTACTTTAATGGCCTAGTAGTTAAAGCGTAATACATAAATAAGTTGTCGATATCGTAATCTATATAGGATTATAATATAAATAACTCGATATATTAAAATCCTAGGTTTAAATCTTAATTAAAGCGTATATTTTTTTACTATATTTAAACTACAAACAAATACAGTTCTTTTATAATAGTAAAAGCTGTCCCTAGTCTAGTTAACAATACGTTAAAAGGTTTTTAAATAAAAGTATTATAATACTTCTTTAATAAAACAATTATTTTAATAGCTTAATAGTTAAAATATAATACTTATACCGAATTATTTATATCTAGATCTATATAAGATCATAACATAAATAACTCAATATATTAAAGTCCTAGGTTTAAATCCTAGCTAGAGCGTATTTTTTTTAAACAAACCTTAAAGCAGACCTTCTTAAAAACAGGACAAAGACTCCTTTATAATATCAGTCCTAATCTGTTCAAATCGTGTTCAGCTTTAGCATATAGCCCTAAAAAAATAATCGATCCAGCCAGTAAATCATATAGTTAAGTATATTTATTCTTTTATATTTAGCTTTTATTATCATCTTACTTTAAAAAACTAATAATAACTACTATTATTATTTTATATAGCATTATTTTTATCTAGTTATTTCTTACTCTTTTGCACGTGTTTAGTTATATTCCGGTTAAAATACTATACCGCGAAGGTATATAAGCATATAAAGTAAGTAGTAAGGTACCTAGCAATAATAGCCAAGCAACCTATTAACTAACCATCAATACTAAATCCACCTAAAAGTCACATAATGGCTATCTAATATAATGGCTATCTACTATAATAGCTATCTGTTACAATAGCTATCTGCCACAATAACTACTGCTATAATAGCTATCTGCGGGTGATAATACATAGTATTATTTAATTTCAAAACAAAAAAGCTACATTTTAATTATACAGCTAAATCTTATTAACTGTTATACCTAAAAACTCCTAAAATACCCAGCTACCTACTTAGATAAGCTATATAATTAAATTAGCCAACCCGCACTCAGGATATACTATAGACTAGCATGTTCTAAGCGTTAATTAGCCAATCCAATTATATAGCCCTATCCAAGTAGGTAAACAGCTACCTAAATATAATAAATAAGTCAACAAATAATAAATATTAGCGCCGCGTTAACATTTTTTATAACGAATCATAAAGTCGCTAGCGCCAAACTTACAGTTAAGTAGTCCTCTACGTTCTTAATGTAAACACATGATACAATAAAGCACTGTAATATATATATCTTCTTAGATCGGCGACTTCATAACTTTTAAATCTTTTATTACACAAGTTCACAACACTTATATACAACATTTATATTTATAGCTGCTAACTCTTTCGCTCATAAAGTCAGCTAATAACAAACTAAGGCTATACACTTAATAAAAAGTACTAATAAATAACAGGATATAAAAACTTAAGATTAGAACATCCAAGCCAAAAACAGGTGGCCAGCATACTAACTTGAGGTTTAAATTAAAAAAAGAAGCCATCGCTAACCAA